CTTCGTGGGGAGGGTCTGAGCAGGGTCTGAGGTGGGTATATTTTGAGGATAATCCACCGGTTTAAAATGATTATCACTGTGACATTCACTTACTAAAGTTAACTTGGCGGCATTCTATATAATCCATGTACTGCTGGTGATCAAGTGTTCTAGAAAGTCTTTCTGCTCTCTACMATACAAAATATTCAAATTTTAACCATTAATTTTATAGGAAGCCTACTTAGTACTTTTACTGTTAAATAATGTTTTAAATTCCTCTTCAACAAAATAAACAAAAAAATGATTTTCACCTCATTTCTTTCTTGCTTGACTTCGTCAAAATCATCATCATCAAATAGAGATATCAAATCTCCTTCAAAAACAGAATAAATAAAAATATATAAACTTGAAAGTCAAAAGCCATGCATTCAGCACAGCAGAGCTACATGCTTGTTTATTGATAGGGAAATAATCTTTTGTTATACAAAATATTCAAAATAGAATGTAGAACTGTTACAGGATATATATTGTTTACAAATGAATGAATGTAAAACTATCGTGATCCAGAATTTGTATAAAAAATATGTGCCATTTTGTATGTATGTTAGTTATCTTGGTGGTCTTCTAAGTGGGTATCAAAATTAAAGATAAAATTAAGTGGAATAGGGAGTGGCTATCAAATTGTGATAACCTTTGATTATTACTCTAAGATTTCAGGAAGTCAGCTGTAAGCATGTGCATAAAATGAAACAGTTGTCTGAAGGTTCTGCCTTGTACTGTATGTAGTCTATATGATAAAACAATTGAGATATGCTTCAACACAGCTTTAGTTTACTTGTTTTTATTATTTTTAAACTACATTCAACTAAAGCTTGAATGATGGTCTTAAAATGAAAGAGTGTCTGTAAAAATTAAATCCTGCAACAATTTATTATATCAATGTTTGTATCAATTATAAATACCCCATGATTTAGAAGGTTCACAAGATTTTTTAAAATACAGTAACATGATATTTATGCTAGAATTTAAGGTATTTAATATTCATTATTAGACAAGCAAAGTAAAAACATTTTAAGAGTGAGAGTTTAATGGCCACCTATGAAGAGGCGTAATCATTTTTAACATCCTTATAAATAAGTWTTGGTACATTTTAGGAGCATGTGCGTTTGGAGATAAAACTAGGATTAGGAGTCTTATTCTAAAGGTCATGCCACTATGCACTGTCATGTACATATGTATAAGATATACATACGAACAACACGCACTTGCTAYGTCCTACAACATAAAAGCTCCTTGACTTGGAGTGACATACAAGATATACAAATAAAAAATTAAAAAAATTGAGAGATCTCAAAAGAGCAAAAATAAACAAACAAAAATTACTATGATCATTTGTACATTGTGTACGAGAATAAATAATGCACAATGTATGGAATATCAGAGGTCAGACTGATGATAACTATGAGATTGATTACGKGGAAGTAAAAAGTAGATGTAACAGAAATTATCACAGATGGGTTAAAGGTTAATAACAGTGTTTTATCTTTTTAAAAAAAACATACTACCTGTGTGGTCTATTGTACTCAGAAAGTCATATGAAATCTTTCTTCTTTTGCTGCCTTTGAGTTCATTTGAAGCTAATAAATACAAAACACATTAAGTGAAGAAGGTATTGAAATGGTTTTCTCTAAATASGTTAATGTGGTAATTGTGGTTTCTTAAGTATGCAAGCAATAATAAAAAACAATGATTAGCGTCATCACTAGCATTCAGAAAAGAGATTAATGCCCACTGTATGTCTTACGACATGCGCAGAGTTATAGCTATGCATGCAGCAACATTGAAAGGGATTCCTTTAATCATATCCATAATAAGTAAAATAYAGTTTGTTTATAAAAATGCCATATTTTTCATGTGAAGACAAAATATGTACATTAGTACTGACATTGATCATCTGTACAAAGGTGTGGTCTTAAGGAGGTAAAGCTACTTAAAGAAGCTTTATAGGAATAATCCCACATTACAAACCTCAATATTACTTTAATTACTAGGAGATAATGTTCATTTTGCAAAGGGGTGTCCCTAATGGGAATATGCGACACCTCACCAAGTAATTGACAGTAATTAAAGTACTATGCYTAAAACCTCAAGACCTCCCCAACTCCCATCACTTTCATCAGTATAAAACAAAATTTTGAAGAGACTAAGTAGTTTTAAAGTAATTGTATCCCAGAACTTATAGGGTCGCATACAAGATGTGCACAGCTTTTATCTATGATTAATTTCATTACCACTGTTTTAATTGCTACGTGCTGATTGAGACAATAGTTACRACAGGGAAATTGGAAATAGAMTGSCGCCAATCAGARTATGTAAAGGTATTGAACAAATTATCTGATTGACTGCAATGTAATACCTGCTTTTACTCTCACAACTGTTGTTTCGATCAGTACATAGCAATGAAAACTGGTAACTCAATGCCCTCTTTTCAATTAATATTACTCCCTTTATCCTTCACTCAACATAAACACACTATCTTTTATTGTTATTGTTTTTCTTCATTCATTCATTCAGAATGAATGATAGAATAGAAATGGAAGGTCTGGATTCCCATTCTCACAGGTTCACACTTTTTTTCCATACCTGCAGCATCTAAAACATCRTCATCATCAATTGAAACTTGTTTCTGCATTTTGTTTCTGAGGTCTTTAAATGTTAAGTACTTGATCARACGTTTSAGTTTRTCCTTTATGAAAAAGAAARRYACAAATTWATTGTTCCAGAAAAAAWMCATACCYTTTCCACTARAGGTATTGGAATTTCCAAAGGGTGGGGAGGGCATTTTGTCCTGTTCATCCATACCTCCCCCACAGAGGGGAAATGGAATTTCCAAGTGGTGAGGAGGGTCTGAGGAGGGTATATTGTGTAGTTCCAGAAAATGTCCACACCTCCCCACAGAGGGGTACTGGAATTTTTCTAAGCATTGGGGAGTGGCAGAGGAGGGTATATTAAGTAGTTCCAGAAATTATCTATACCTCTTYCACATAGGGGGATTGGAATTTCCAAGGGGTCGGGAGRGTCTGAGGAGGGTAATAGTCTTTAGCGTACCTTGTCTCTTCTCATCAAGAATAGAGTGTCCTCCATACTCATGAATCGCCCCCCTCTCATATTGGTTACCTCTGCTGCATGGACAATCTGAATGCAATAACATACAATACAAAATGTTCATACTTTTCTCAGTGTTGTATCATGAAAGGTGGAGGTGAAAAGGACAGGATAAGTTATTTTAAATGAAATAAAATGGAAATTATTGACAGTGGTTCCACAGAGTGGCTCTTCTTCTACTCAATTCCAGATGTATTATATTTAGAAGTTGATTTTTCAAAGGTTTGGAAGCAGAAAACACTGGAGAACCCAGAGAAAAACCTTGAGGCACAAAAGAGAACCAGAAAGCTATTATCTTCTCAGGTACAACAGAGTCTGGGGATCACTGTGGGTCCTCTTGGTGAGAAGCGAGGGCTCTCACATCACACCACTTGTGCTTCCCATAAATAAGGCTTAGATGCAATAAGGCTGTGTTTTGATGCATTAAAATATATACTGCGAGCTCTTCTATAAATCTTTTACCAAGCTAGACATTTGCTGATGTACAATCTCTTCTATGATCACTGCAGACTCTGGAGAAGGTCTTCTGCTGTCCCCAAAAGCATACCTGCAATCAAAAAGCTAAAACATCAGGGTTTGTATTCTTTGAGCCAAACTACAGCCACCATCCAWGCCATAATAGAGGCTTTGTACCATCACATCATGGCAGCCATGACAGAAGGCAGGAACAATTGAATCTGGTCTGATTTGATTTACGAGAAAGAATCCTGTTTCCCTGGGGAAAAAAGACTATTGTCATGCCTCCTGTCATGGCTGCCATCACGTGATGGCTTTGAGGAACTGGGAACGAGTGTAGTAATATTCAACTAATTAAAAAGAAACCCCATCAGATGAAAGTTCACATTAAAATAATTAAGTTCATCARCTTTGAGAATGTTTGGGCAAATATTGACTGATTAGCAGGCTTTAAATAAATCATAAAAATAAGAGAGAATGTATGGTCTTATGGGATGCTGTCCTCAAACCCCATACATTCTCTCTTACTTTTGCAACTTTTAAAAGATCAATTGCATTAGGTATTTATCCATCCAGTCACTTCAAATACTTTACAATGTCATTAGTATGATATTGTTAAGTATTGCATAATACTCAACACTAGGCAATTAATGTACTCCAAGCAACATGGGTGACGAAAGCATAAGAGCATAATATTTAAAAATATCTCTWATCTTCTCCCTTTCTTTTCCATCTCAAGTGAGTCCTCTAATTACAATAATATTTGGACAAAACACTTGTCCTACTTGCCAATCACAATCAAACCACATGTAAGACCTTTTAACCACATCTTAATATCAAAGGAACTGACCCTTAGGTAGTAGGTAATGGGATGGAAAAAAAGATCTTGAAAAACTCATATGCATTCAACCAAGTCCAAAGCTAGCATAAAATTTCGGATGGAATAAAAGCTCTTGGTAAATTGCTTTTGAGTTCTAGCATTGTTTAGTATGAAAGAATTTAGCAGTTAAAAATTGAGGACATTGAAAGGTTTAGTTAATAGACACTTAATGGTACACCTGTAGACTAATTATTGTATCAAGCAGCTCACAGYGCTTGAGTATTAAAACCATCAACGACATAAGATCACCACAAATAGTATCAAAACTAAACAGTCTTTTAATAAAGAACAATTGAGTCTAACTTGAAGACAATAGATATCACAGGGATTCTGTTCAAACACGATGTCTAAGATCATGACCAAAATTGTTGGTCCACAAACCACAAATAAATTGTTTACCAACAGYACAAAGAGAAGAAAAAGACAAGTTTCCTAAATGAACATTTTCAAGGTTGATTATTTGACAATTGTTTACTGGCCACAGCGGCATTATTGTGGTGGATTTYTTAGCTTTACTCAACAGGTTGCGGTCATTTCCGTGGGAAAATACTTTATAAATTCAATCACCAATTGATCACCCCGCTAACTTCCGGCTGCTAATCATCTAACAMAATACCCCATCTCTAACAAAAGCGACCTACTCTTATATCTCACTGAGCGCCTGTGATTTCACAGGAAATCAGAAAGAAAACACAGAGACATGCTTGTTTAGCCGACTACAGAAAAAGCTTTTCCGATTGATGAAAGCCGGGAGGTATAAACACGGTTTGTTGTCACGTATTCACGGCTCTGATGCCGAAAAGTCGTCGATAATGTTTTATGGTTCATATATTAACGTCAGACCTCCAACAGAGCCAGACGAAACATTATCTCAGCCACTGTTATTATTTTTTTGGTTATTTACGACCTGTCTAATAAGATAATTTAGTCAATCTTAAAGATTTAATCTTTTATTTCAATGAATATGCAAAGATGGTGGTTGTGATTGACACAAACCGGTAGTATAGTTTGGGAGGTACTTATAAGTATATTCCAAGAATATAGGAGTCATAATATCGTAGTTCCTGACCTTACTAAAGCAATACTTACATCATGCTTTGTATTTCGCTTTGGAACCATAACTTAGGCACGTTTTTTGTGATTACGTTGACTGGACTTGGCGATGCAGGCGTCAATTCACCTACGCTCGGAGGCTGAAAGAATCAAATCACCGGAAATGAGTCCTTCCACGGATGATACCTCGAATAATAGCACACAGCTACATAAAGGAAATACTTCGAGTAAATTAACACCCATTGTTTATCCTACGGTTGAATAAGAAAGTTCATTTCTTTGACTCCACGCTGTAKAGAACCTAAGTCTGTCGTACACATCAATAACCCTTCATCCAATATGGCGGACGGTTATTGAACCAATTTTCTAATTATTTCACACTTTACTCTACCTTGATCTCCACAATACTTGAAGCAGCTGATGCTTCTTTGTTTTTGTCTGATTTCTTATTCTTGGATTTCGATTTAGTCATATTTTTGGCCTTAAAATACCCTAAAATAACCTCTTGACGTCTCGTCGGTGGACAAGCAACAGTTCATTACCGGAAATGAACGAGTTATTTCATTTTAGTTCAGTCACGTGCGAAAAGCGCGCGAAAAATACAACAACCAATCAAAAAGCTCGTACTATCGGTGCCTTGGTTTATGATTGAGTTACAACAACAGGATAAAACAAAACATTAAATATAACGCAATGAACGAACTACTTATCTGTTAACGGAATATAAATAATAAACTTGCCAAATTTATTCATATCCCTTCAAAAGGAAAGTGAGTTCTAATAGAGGTGCGGAATGTTGTCTTACATTCTTGTTAAGTTCGTAACTTTCCTTCTATGGTGACGTACCGGGAAAACCATTTCTAGACATTTCGTGATTTTCAGTATACTGGCCCCTTTGATTGCGTATTTTGGCATCTAGTGAGTGTAGATTTGCAAACTTTGCCGCGAAAATTTCGAATGTTGATAAGTGTTAGTGGATAGGACTAGTCTGGGACCCACGTGTATATAGGTGTTTGTTAATTGGTGAAACTTTGTACTTGCACGTTCCAGCATATCAAAAAACAATGATCGCAGTGAAACAAGAAACCACAAGAACGCTCCAGAATTTACAATGCTATTCATTGGAATGTTAATAGGCGTTTTTGATTGGACTAGGCCATTTGTGGGCGGGAGGTTGTGGCGGGTGAGCGCGCAGTGATTGGCGCAAGCCGTGTACTTCCTTGAACGCAAACAACCTAGCACAACAGATGTCAAACTCGCAGGGGAGTGGTTGGCCAAAGGCATTTCATTTTATTTCACTATCCGGTTGTGCGCCAAACTCGCCACACATAATTCTGGTGGATCACTCTTGTGGTTTTCACGTTGGACAACCATGACCACTGCCACAGAAAACCCAGGACCGCGTAAAATTAAGGGAGAGAGATCGCTTATTGAAGCATTATCGGAATATCCAGGAGAATTAGTCAAGACTGATTCTCCAAATTTTGTCTGTAGCGTGTTACCGTCACACTGGCGATGCAACAAAACACTGCCAGTTGCGTTCAAAGTTGTGTCACTAGGGGATATACCAGATGGAGTTCTCGTGAGCATTGCGGCTGGGAACGACGAGAACTTCTCCGCAGAGCTACGAAATTGTACTGCAGTCATGAAAAATCAAGTTGCCCGATTTAACGATTTGAGATTCGTGGGACGTAGTGGAAGAGGTAGAGTAAAATAATTCAGTTGTGTTTTTGTCGTACGGACCACAGTACCCCAATGTTGCAGTACTTCTTCTACTTGTACCTGGATACAACACACGTTAACTACCGCCATCAAAACTATTATACTTGTCAATTTCGGCACCTTTTATGCTCCGGAACTATGTTATGATTTTATTTGAATTATAATTCTCTTTAATGATTCTTCTTAATCCACCTGTGAACTTTTAGGTAAGACTTTTTCACTGACGATAACGGTAAAAACAGAACCAATGCAAGTCGCAACGTATTGCAGAGCAATCAAGGTGACGGTTGATGGACCTCGCGAACCTCGACGTAAGTCTTAAAAATCTTTATACCTAATTTTTGCGTGTTTAGTGAGTATATTTGTGGTTTCACCTTCAACACGACCAGTACRCATTTGAAAAAATTAAATCAACCTATAGACCCTAAACTTTATTTATATTGCATTGTGGTCAGTTTAGTTGGACAGTCCCCTACATATATTATTTTACTCAGCATAAAAATTACTCTTCAAAATATTGCGTTGTTTGATTCCGATACGACTGCTATTATACTACTGTTTTTATATCACTTATATCCGGCACTTGATTCATTGTGATTTGATTTAGTCATGGAATTATGTCAAATAAAGAGATCTGATTGAGCGGTGCGGGAAAGAATTTGATACCCAATGTTTATATTCCAAATTTATTTTTAAAGGGATGTCGGACGTTTTAGAATATTAAGACACACTGACTTTGGAAAAATGTCGAAGTGTAAGTAGATAAAACCTGTGGGTTTGCCCCGTAATCCTGGGTATGTGGTGTGCTGGTATTTTGTTTATATCCGTGAATTCTCTTCGTCTTACCGCAAATAAACACAGGTAGTGTTTAGATAAATAAAGCTATACTCTCTATTCTCGTTCGCAGAGAAAGCCACGCTAGCGGGTATTCATTTAGGCGATACGCGGGAAAGTGATAAATGTTTAATTTACAATTAATCATTTATAGAATACCTTGAGCTTATTGGTTATAGGCATAATTGAATTGATTAAGGTGCCATGAAAATTCTATGCCTAACAGGTGTAGACAGCAGGTGAACTGAGAAACAAAACGAAAGCTATTCATCTGGCCCTGTGAGCTCTTACAAATGCATTTGTTAATATAATAGCTATTCTACTTTTACTAATTACTTCTAATAAATSTGATAAAGATGTATAATAGTGTTCAAATGCTGGATACTGAGAGACTGAAGTAATTTTGTAAGAAGCCTCTGTCCTCTTAGTGAGAATGTAAATAAATGACAATTACGTTGAAGTAGCATTCCCAATATGCTCGGCAAACAAGACCTCCATTTCTATTAAGAGGAAATATTTCCAGTAATCATCTAGATGTTGGTGGCTAAACTAATTAGGTTTTTTGCCATTTTATCTGATACAATTCTCTATGRAAAGTTCAATTTTGTCTCTGGTTTCACTAATAAATTGAATTAGAAATCTAATAGAATTACTTCATTACTAATTGGAATAGCACTCTTTCATTGGCTTAATCCCAAATGTTAGTTCTTTTCTTAGATTAATCTCAAAATAAGATTCCCTAGTTTTAAATACAATTTAATTAACATAATTGAAGAAAAAGTCCCAGAGAGGGAGACCTTTATGAAGCTTTTCATTGTCTYGTTCTCTCAGTGTGAGCCAAAATTTTTGAAGAGTCAATTAAAAAACCTTTAAAATTGTGTTTTGGACTTATAGTGGAATGTTTCTATTCAGAATTCTGTCAAGATGTTTAAACTAGGACAGCAAATCAAAAATTAATCCAACAAAAGAAACACTAAGATATCACAGTCAAATAACTGCCCAGCTCAATAGGTTTGTTTTGAAACGATATAATTCTATTTCTTAATTCTAATTTGGTTTTTCAGTATTTGCTTTCAAGGGAATTTCTTTCAGATAAGTCATAATTGAATATGCATTCTCTGCTGGAAGTGATATTTTTAATTTTTGATGATTTTCAAATCTTCGCCACCTGCTTTGCCATGATTTCTGTGACAGTTTTTAAAAAAAAAAATACACTATTACAAAATTTATTTTGCTACATTTTAAAAATTACTCTTTCATTTAAAAAAAAAAATGTTATGTCATTAGGTGTGACATCACAAAACAGTTTTAGAGTATTTTGTAAGTAAAAAATGACTAGAATTAAGGTTTGCCTCTTTTGACCACATCCCATCATTTAAAATTGAAGCTCTTGTCTGTCTTTCTATGTTGTCTTTGCCAAACTTCACCCATAAACCACAAAATAGTGAAGCCAGTGCAATACTGGTGTAAAAAATCATCGATAGGAATTGCCTGTTTAGGAGTTAGAGCAATTCAGGATGATTTTTAACCACTGATTCCAGATTCAGTGTAAGTTTGTACCAATAGGGTAAACCTCAGTATTGGGGTTTGATTCTATGGTGTTTTATGGCTAACCCAAGCCTAGAATCGCCATGGTAGTTTTATCTTCACTTCTTTACTCTAACATGTAGAAAATGTGTCATGAGAGGCATGCTGTCAAGTAAAAATGTATGGAAAAAAAGTATCTTCTCTTTGAGGCTATATGTGCTTAGGGATTATCCAAAGGGTACCATCCAAAGTTACTTAAATAATCTTTACAGCTATTAGGAAAAAATTCAAAAATCAGTTTATTTTTTTAATCACAATTGTTAGAAATGCTGATACAGAGGAACTCTTGAACCTTTAAGTTTTTGAGTTCCTGCTGAAGAACCAAGTTCATATATCACATAGAGTTTACCTAAGCTTCAGTTTTTGCTTAGAGACAAATCTCCTACTCATAAAAAATCTAGAAAATTCACATCTGACATAATATTATACTTTTATTTAATATTTGTTATTTTTATAGCAATTTACAGAAAAATCTAGAATACATTAGATAAAGGATTTAAAATATTGTATTAAGCTTTAGGAAATATTTATACACTAGTTTTAAGTTTCAAGAGTTCATTTGAATTTTTTGAGTTGAGAAGTTAATGTTGGAACAGCTTGCTTAAGATTGAAATTCAATAACTGGTTTTTCATCACATCTTGCAAACTCAGATACAAGGATTTGATTTCCTGATTGTTTTAGTGAGATACTGAACGGAGGGACACTGTCAAAGCTTAGTTAATACTAAATACATGAAGTACCACTTTCCTTTTCCCGGTTATCTTGTCTGATTTACCCTTTCATTCATAGTTCTATTGTTGGGAATGTTTCAGGAAGCTACACCCTTCCTTATAGGAAAATCATTGCTCATAAGCTTTATGAAAATCAAAATTTTGAGATAGTATGTATTGTGTAGTACTAAGAAAACCAAATAAGGCTTGTTTTATATGCAGCCCCACCCTTGAAACATAAATCTTTCACTTAGTTAGAAGTCAAAATAAATACACAAGATATAAAATATCAAAAGCATTAAACTCTGTCATCTTGAATTATCTTCAATCCATCACTTGCAGTTCTTAGAAGTTGTTTGTGAATGGATTGTTTTCTCCTGTTCTAAATTTAAACRTATGATTTTGGTTGCCAAATCTAAAAGATGTTATCTCAATAAATTTATAAAGCAATAATGGTTAACAAAACGTATTTTAGACGAAAAGAGATTAGTTGTCCCATTTATCTTATTTCAATTCCCATTTTGAATGGAACACTTTTTAAAAATGTCTTGACGCTCCGTTGGTTTCATCAATTTGATTTTTTTTTTAATTATTCCATTTTAGTTTTTATTACTATTCCAACGAGATTAAAAAATGACCGAAAAAAGAATAAATAACACAATAAAATCGGGTTTTTCTTTTTCACAATCAGTTGAAGAAAATTCATTTGTGGTTTTGGAGCGAACTGGTTTTATCCCCAATAAAAACTAAAGCAACTTYCTGAAAAATTTTATACATTTCTTATTGCTTTATTTGAATTTTGAGGTCGGAAAAAATATGAAATTGAATGAAAGTAATCGATTTTAAGCCGCTTTGTTTCATTTGAATCAAGATGTCCGTTAAAAGATGTTTTACAAAAGCAGGTACCTGTAAAGATTTGGAAAACAAAAGACCTAAAAGGATAATAATGAGGACGAATGCCCTCCTCAAGACACACACACACACACAAAAACAATTATCTTGACATCCATCATACCGATGGACCAATCTTTATTTATTCCAAGTTTTTTACTCCGTTGAACAGTTTGAATTAAGTCAACTTTATAATTTTATTGGACCAACGTTGACAGAAAAAACTTTTGCTATGATAGAAGCCAGATAACCTTGTCCATGAAGATAGAGAAATCAAATTAAGAATGTAGACCTTGTAAATTACAATCTAAAACAGACCTCTCGCAGCTGTGTGCTTCGTTAATGTTGATTATGGTCGAATTGGTCCATTACGAGTCCGCGGCACTTAAGACTTAAAGATTAAATAAGATAAGAAATTTTGGTGAATATAACAAGACCTTTTAGTTGAAATATCCAAAATAATTAAGTCCGCGCGTACTTGGTAGAAGTAATCCTAAGCAATAGTAAAAATGATTCCAGAACATGAAATACTTTTAGAAAACAGGCGCACCGCAAAAACCATTGAAATCTAATATTTTCTTATCATTTCATTTACCATGACTTCTCATTCAAAAGATCTTGACAAGGTTTATTATACATCTACAAGCCTATTATTCTGTTTTTACTCCAAGTATTACCAAGCCGAAAGGGAATAAAGAAACAGCAGCATCGGGTGGTGGTTAAATTTATTTTGGTGCTTAGTGGCTTAGTAATTGAAATTTAAAAACTCTTTCTGCGGTCGTAAATGAATCTCACTCACTTTTTGTTGTTTTTCGACTGTTTTTTAGTCACTCACTTATTGCGCAACTTATATTCTCTTCAGCAGAATAAGACATGTATTGTGTCCTCAAACAAAACAATGATGATACACTTCCTCTTCGTTTCACGATTTCAGAGTCTATACCATTGTATCAGCTCAATATCTATGCGTAGTTTTTTTCCGGTTAACCTTCCGTTGCGTGTCTTAACTAAGTTCTGTGTTTTGCAGCCTTTCGATAGGATGACGCAAATCCTTTATAGTTTTTCAGTCCGTTTAAACTGAAGGGATGCTGACGGGGGAGGGAAGATAATGAAACTTTTTACACGATTTCGTCTGATTTCTGTGACCCCTTGTGTAGGTGATTGTTTGTCTGTAAACTTCTAGTTCCTCTTTGATTTGTTGGCAGACAGTTGAAATAAAGCTGCAACGACTCAATTTTACATGAAATTAAAAGAGAAAATATAATCCATCTTCTCGCTTTTGCCTCTTAAAACCTTCGACATCTTCTGCTCTACTTATAGTTCAGTAAAAATGCATTTTCTCAAAGACCCCTAAGRATTTAACACATATAAACCACTGTGTTGTTGTACAATAACTGCTAGGTTTTTGAGGTACTTGGATTCTACTGTTCCTTACAAGGCTGGTTTGCGGTCGAGAGGCTAACACTGTAGTACACCCGATTAGCTTTAAACCAAACCGAAGGAGAAGTCATAATTTACCAAACCACTATACGTCTTGTTGGGGAATAAGCATGGATTGTGTTTATGTCATAGCGTTAAGCCACGTTGAATAAACTGGCTAACGGTTGAACAGAACAGATCTATTTCTCTTATCTAGCCACTGCTCGCTTGCGGCAGCACCCAACACACCCCACAATTATTGTTCTTTCATTCACCCTTTAGTCATTTTTGTATCCTCATTTGCGCACATATTCTATGTAGGAATTTTGCGCTCTCGTCTTAASAAGCAAAGATACTTACATACAAAGAAATATAGCTATTCCAGTAATCGTTAAAGAGGAAAATGCGAGAGTTCTTTGCTAAAGAATGAAAGTCTTAGAGATTGTTGCAATAGCGATGGTTGACAAGAGCTTTGCTTGTGGAATTTTTCAGGGCACAGAGCGAGAGCAGAAGACAGAGATCCCGCTCATGCTTTCGATCAGTTTCCATTCTCTGATCGTTTATCTGAGCTCGGGTTGGAAGGATTCCGAAGGATGAGAGACCCAACTTTTCCTCCATTTACAGAACTTCATCCTTCTCCTCTACAACAAACCAAACTAACTCCCGATGGAACGTCTGCTTTCACCCCACTCAATGCAGGTAAAAACAAAAACAAATACTCTTTTCACAACTGAATTTTTTCTACTCATTTTCTGCTTATTGTCTTGCGTTCAAATGCAAAACTTTGAACATCGAGACGTTTTAGATTGAAAACAAAAAACTCAGTTATTTCAGTTTAGTCAAAGTAAAATTGAGTCAAAGTACTCGTAATGTCCTTACATTTGGACGAACAATCTTTATTACCAAATCTCATTTAACTCGTTTCGAGTTAATAAATTGGAAGTCTGTAATTTAGAAAGCTTCAAAGTACTCTTAATTTTCATCTAACATCGAAGGTTCCGCACATACGAAGTACTAATTAGTTAAATTGAGTTATGAGTTTTTTATTTTTGATGTTGTTAGGCTTTCATATTCAAAGCCAAGAAAGTGTATCGGAATGAAAGAAAGAAACTGACATTTCTTAAATGTTTTCCATTTTTTTTAAGTTTGTTTCTTCGGTTTTTTAAGTTTAAATCTCAAAAATTTAGAATTATTCGYTTCCATGTCGTTAAATCTTTATATTTCTGTACTATTTTGAACGATAATTATGAAAACGTGCTTTGATGAAAATAACTCTTCCACTCCCAAAACCAGATGTTCCTCAAGAGCTTGCATCAAATATTAGAAAAAACTATTCTTAATTGGATTGTCCCAGTAGGATTTTCTTACTAAAAACTCCAAGAGATACTRATTGAAAATCGTCTTGAAGCTTTCATCATGTTTTAAAGAATTTACTATTAATTGTGAAGGATTCTGATAAATATTTGATTTTCTTGACACAAAACGACAACATGAAAATCTAATTTTTCAATGGCGAAAAACATTCGAGTTTTAAATCCGTATAAAAACAATATTAAAGAACTATTATTTTGTTTTTATACTAGTTTTATTTTACCTGAAACACCAAAATAGGTAATTATAAGAGAAAAATGACCAACTTAGCATAAATTCTCCCAAATTACTAAACATTTTAGGTAGTTTTTCTAATATGGAAAGATTTTTAAAAAAGAGTCTGTTTAGTTTTTTAGTTGTTCGACAAAATATCAAATTTTTATGGATTTAAAAATCATTGAATTTATAATTCTTATAGGAAATCAGGTTTTTTAAAGAAGCGAAGTTATATTTAAGCATTACTTTAATTGATAAAATAGGAGTAAAATCTAATTTCAAGCTTTCGCCGGTTTATTTGACAAAGTTTACTTTACCTTTGTCTTCGAAGAAAGCTCTCTTGTCTTTCTTTAACGTTCTTGAGATAAATTCATTATCCGTTGCTTATCATCCATTCTTTTAAGGAGTGAGTGTTACGCCATTGACTCAAGTTTTCTCTCAAAGTTGTTGTCGAGGGAAGAAGAAGACGAACAAAATGGCGGCTGTTTCGAAGTGCCTTCCTTTCCTTTTCCCGCCAAAGACAGCCGAGCGCGTTGTCGTCTCCCTTCGCGCCATTTCTTACTATATTAATTCCTACCCGCGTGCACCGAGTTATCTTGTTTTCTCCTCTCACAGTTTAACCAATATGGCAAACCAAGATTTACACCATTTTAGGGAACTTATAAGTTCTTTAATTTGTGATTTTAAAGCAGACATTGTGGTGAAGTTTTCGGTTGCCCATATAATTTCACACATATACAATGGTTAGCCATATTTCTTTGACTGTGGATATCATCCTACGTTAATTTCTTCCTTCCGAGATATGGGCAACTTTCACCACGACTTAATATTTCCAAATCATCGCGGATAAGTTTCAATTTATTTAAAAATTGTCGTCGTATAACTAGCTCTCAGATTCAGTTATTTCAGTTCAACCAAAAATTTCCTTGCTTGCCTTGCCTTTTCCTTTTCACTTCTTTTTAAATTAAATTTAACAGATAAAGAGATTTGTAAATTCAATATTCTTCGTAGCGAGAGCGAAGGAATTTCATTAAAAATTCATATGTTCTTTAAATTTACGTTTATATTCATTTATTTTCCTGCAGATCCAAACCAAATGAGGTCACCTTCATCGTGGGGATATCACACATTTCCAGGACTTATTCCCGCACCTCAGCCTGATGCCTCTATGAATTTTTCTGCTCTGACTCAACTTCAACAAAACCCTTTACAGATTGCCAAACCCCAGACAGTCAATCTACAAAACACGACGAGTAATATGCCCGTATTACCACATGTCTACCCTGATGCAAGATTCCAAAATATGTCTCAATTTCAGTTTCGTCCAACAACCGACAACACTACAAGTGCAATAAACCAAGTTACTACAACAGCAACAGGAATAAATTCTTATAATCAAATGGGAACGATGTGTCCATCAAGTCAGATGGAGCCCGGCCATGGTATGTTACAGGCTGCTTGTCAACAACTTAACGGGTCCCCGATGGGGAATATGAATGGATTAGTAAACGGCCAATTCATGAGTACAATCAACTCATCAATGAACAATGGAGTGGTTAACAACGGACTGACGTACAGACCTCAGTCGTATATTCACCAACCACCCATGAGTACACAAAAAACAAGCATGTCTCTGACACAGTCGACGTATTCTGGGCCCGTGGGTCCCCCCAACGGTATGACATTCCCTATGGCACGATCCGGTATGATGTCTATGATGAGTCAGGGCATGGGAGTATCTACCATGGCGCAAGGCCTCAACAGCTTCTCGGGGTTCCCTACGCCTCCACGGTCAGAGGACCAAAGCATGGGCCTCAAACAAGAACCCGTTGAAGGAGTCACAGATCTATCCAATCACGTGATCAACCAAGGAATGGCAGACCACGTGAACAATGGAGGTAGCGAAGGAGTATTAACGGAGCGAAATGGACGATCATCTCCTAAAGTTTGGCGGCCTTATTAACCCCAGCAGTCACCGTGTATGGTATCCCTGTGTTTTGGCTGTTGTTTGCTTTCGCCAATGGTGAATTGATCTCTGTTCTTGTTATAAACTTCAAGAAGTTTAAACTACATAAATTTCCTAACATCTTTACCCCAAGTTTAGTCCTGTTATAGTTACACCAGCTTATCCAGTGGAGTAGGTACATGTCGCCATGTCGCTTAGTTATTTTAATTTTTATCATTATTCATATAGTTCTTACTGATAACAGAAAAGATTACTGCTAGCAAAACCCTACCGAATCCTAACTAGCTAGTCAAGATCATTTTATTGTGTACAAAATGTTCGTTTTGTTGGACTTAAATTAACTTGTTTCAAAACGAAAACAGAGCTGATGAATTTTGAACGAATCGAACTGAAGGCTACTCGAGCTTTCTGTTTTGAAAGATACGAGATAATATTGAAGATATTTTAAAGACTGTATAAAAAGAAAAAGATTATTTATTTCGAAGATAGCGCATGCTTATGCTTAGAATGCGAGGCTATAATATAGAGTATAATAGATTAGTCAGTAACAGCCTCGTTATCAAGTCGGCATGTCTATCTTCATTTTATTAATAATTGCTAGAGATATTTCGAGACATCTCGATACGTACAGATATTATTATTTATGAAGCTTCAAAAGTTTGGTTATTTTATTTGATGTAAATTGCTAGGCCTTAGGATGTCCAAGCATATATGCGCATGCGTCATGGAATTCTTGCAAATACATCCTGAACAACAACTATATCTTGTGGTGTTTTATAATCTGTTATCAACCAAGGGGTTATATATACACGATATGTATGGGCTTAAATCTCTTTAACGTAAGTTAAATAAATGTCCACCAGATTTAAAATATGACATAATTTCAAAACTAAAGCTTAAACCTATAGAATAAATTTAAATTGATCTCGATTACAGGTTTCGAATCATACCTCGACTTCATTGTATCTGTATCTCTGTAACAAAAATTAAAACCTCAACATTGGGGTTTTAGATTTAAACTTTAAAACTATATAAGATTAATATTCTTTAGTTAAATATGTATAATCAGAAAAATTATTCGATATTCTTTGATTCTTCGTTTTTGAAGGAAGGCTTTGTAAATGTATACTCAAATTGCTGGCAAAATCACTGAAACTTTCTATCTTGCACTTTATTGTCATCTCTATGGCTTTGAGCAGCAAATAACGAAAAAGCATAACATTCAATCCCAACTAGCTAAGTTMACCTTAAGAAAAAGCAAAGTTGAAGATCTAAAACTAAAAGATTCGGGATTTCTTGTGACGTTTTACGATTTTTTCCAAGATTTTTGATCCATAACTCTTTTGGATAGTGACGTTTCTAACGTTAACTTGGCTGGAATCAATAGCTGCTCGCAAAAAAACAAGATTTTTGACAGACTTTATAGCATAGCAAAAAAACATAACCAAAAGAACAAACAAATATAAAAAGAAACAAAAAATAAACACATCTAAAAACACAAAGAATTTAAACTATTTAACGGAATTAATATTGATTCTGCCATCACGATGGCTGCAGGCCAGTTAATGCTATTACTGTTTGATTAATGAATAAAAAATATATATTAAACATAATAGTGTCGTTATTGATGACCTAAAATCGAAATGAAGTGTTTGAGATCTAAAGAATCTATGGTAATGTACAAATCTCTGAGGGTGAAGAAACCTTCTCATCGATTTCCAGATGCAAGGTCTCAGTCCGGAAAACCAAATCTCAAAGCGAAGGAGACGTGAAAATACCTCGTACAATTAACGGAAAAGAAAACTTTGGTTTACAATCAGATTAAAGAAATCTGATGAATATTTGTTCAATAAGTGGTGTAAAATTTGCCCGTCTGATGATAACGATAAAACAAGGACCTCTCACGGTGTTGTTGTACGCTTCCGTCCACTTCACTATTTTGCATTCATCGCGTGGGAAAAACTGTTTTTTTCTTCACTGGCAATTAAAATGCTAGAGTGTGCTTCCTGTATCGCTTGGCTCTTCAATCAACACAAGAAAAGTCGATACAGTTTGAAACAGTTTTGAGTTTGGATGATTTTAATCAATCTTCATGCAATCCTGCTTTTCGCTTGTGTGTGATAACTTCTGCTAGTGCCTATTTTTCTTTATTCTACCGTATTTCCCTACATAGGTCTTAAAGAACTACAAGCTTCTATCCAGACAAAGGCCTTCATAGTTTGTCCACTTCCCTAAGTTTATCAATCTAGTCTATTAGTCTACAGGATCCCAGTTCAGGAAGTTAAGTGTCTGAAGTAGAATCATTAAGGCTTCACAGACCTTCGTAGTGTGGGTGACCGTGGATGACTCAGTACACATTTGGTGGCGCTCAAGTCCTCCAAATTTAGAACCATTTTCCTTTTATAAACATGTGTAGGAGAATATATCGGACTAGTGACCGGCTTAACCTCGCTAAACATTTGCGATATGGGTAGTATGACGAATATAGCAACCATGTTAGGAACGGATTGAGGTGTGTTTGATGGTCCCTGATAATCATTACTCACATGACGACCGGGCCAAGATCTTAAGGATCGATTAATCCTTTCAATTAGTCAATTAATTCGATGGTAAGTTGGCCTAATGAGTGATTCATATGATACGATAGCGATAACAAGAAGGCAAGTAAAGGTAACAAGGGGAATGATGAGACTCTAAGGAATTCGGAAATGCGGTGATTAAAAGCAACGCGGTCGGCGTCCTGGACGATATCAAGTAAAAGAATCCCGGCACTTATGTTTTGACTTAGAGCCAGAAATCTCCGGTTTATTTACCTGCAATAATCGTGAAGTAAAGATGTTGATTTTGCTTCGATTAAGGAATTAAAGTCAAGAGCATTAAATTCCCTTACACACCCTTTAAAATATCAGTGCACGTGTAAATTAAAGTGATAAACACATCGATCATCAATCAGTTCGTTTTCGTATCAAGCTACTACTGACGAGCTCACCTATTCCTTTATTAATTGTTCCTGTAACCTAGACACACTTGCTTTTCGTCTGGGTATTTCTTGTGGGTTCGTTTTATTGTTTAATTGTTTTTAGGACACAATGAACAAAGGGATAAGGAAGCTCGAACGTGAGACTTGTTAATGTTTAGTGGAAACCAACCATTTCAGGCAGGATTCATTACAGTTGGTCCAATCGGTGGTTAAGTTTCAAAAATAATCGCTTTTCTTGCTTCACGACAACCTTTAGGAAACTTAGAATCAGCCCTAGAGTTTTAAGCGCTTAGGCATGTCTGTAAAATGAGTAAAATGGAATATATGAACAACAAAATGACAAATAAATACTCTGGAAGACAGGATCAAAATATCAAGTACTTAAAACATGAACTCAAAGAGATATTCGACGAAAAAATTCTATTCGGAACCAGAGTCAAGTGCAAAAATATCTTAGACCTTTTTAAGGCGAGGGAATCAAATTCTCGACCTTTCAGGAGATTTTCCATATCCACACGTGCTCCATCTTCAAGCTGTTTCGAACCTTTAGCAACCGGCCATTTTATATTTCCTTAATTATTGTGTATCATTTCTTGATGTGTTGTTTTTGGGACTAAATTTGCGGGCGGAAGTACACCTATTAAACCCAACTAATTTTGGTACATAAGACTAGCACTTGTAAAAGTTTTTATGATAAAATTGAGGCATAGATTTGTACGAAAAAGTCCAAATGTTTTGTATTGTTTTAAATGACTCACACTATAAAAAATCGTCATTTTTGAGATATCTATAATGATAATAATAATTGAAGTCTCACAATGGCAGAAGTTCACTGTACCTGTTAACATTGAAATGAAACCTTGACGTTGAGAAAAGTATTGGCTTCTTTGCTCTATAAATCATAATGATTTGAAACGCGCCAGAAATAATAATAAGACATTGAAGTAAAAATGCTTGAAACAAAGTAGCTTGTTTCCGAATGATTTGAAATGTAGAAGAAGAAAAAAATGGTTTGAAGGACACCAAAGTGGCTTGCTCTCTTTGGAGTTTACACTCAAGGATACTATACTATACACTCGATAATTTTATCTGTGTATGAAATCGTTCTAATTTTATTTAAGACATGTAAAAATAACGACACGAATGACCTATTTGGTCTGTTAAGGAAATAAAAATAAAAACAAGCAGATCAGCTAGTATTAGCACGAAGCACATCGGCACGTAGCAGACCCCTAGAGGAAGACAAGTTCATCTTGTGCGCAATAAGACATTTTAGCACGGTTATTTAGTAGCATTCGGCTTTTTTGTACTTAAGATATCCTACAATCGCACAAAAAAACCGTCATTTTGTTGACAAAATAATGACAATGGCCCGGAAATCGGAAAAAATGGCGGCAAGCTTGGCTATAAGCTTGTTTATCATTCAGTATTAAAGACTGGCCACTGTTTTAGTTCTGGGAGTCTGCCAAGCATTGCGAATAAACATCGCCCCCCGCACTCGCTACTTGTATTACGAATTCACAAAGAAAAGTTATCACTGCCCGATTACAAAGTCATAGGAATAAAACCAAATTCGTTGCATGGATACACAAGATAGCAAAGAACATATCCTAGTTTATATGGGCTTCTCTAAACTGCTGTTTGCTAGCAAACAAAACAGAAGACGCGTGGCGAGCTTTTCGAACTTTTTACTTTCGAATCAGGTAAGGTCTCAAAATCAAACTGTGACCATAAAAAACTAGCGCATCTTTTCATAAATGTTTTCTAATAGATCAAAGATCGGCTGATATATCAAGGCCGCTAATGTGATATTTTTTTAATCCAGTGCGAGACATTTATTCAAGAGTTATACCGAGTTTGAAGTCCCCATAATTCCGCGAATTTCTTTATCAAAAAGTTTGTCTTTAATGAAGTCCTACACTTTTAATTCTCTCTCAAGGTATTAAAAGAAAACTCCAAACTAATGAATATCGCCGTAGCAACATGGAGTAAAAAAAAACACAGTTTCCTGTGGCAATGGAACGAGAATTTAGGCAAATTGCCTCAACGCTTTCAAGCAAACAGACGACACTTTCATCAGCGATGCTTTCCAAAGTTGAACCGAAAGGAAAACGGTTTTTGAAAGCCATATTTCACAGAACTTAAACCCGATTTTGTGAAAAAGCGTGGGTGGACAAAATAACTAATCTTGATAGTTTTACGTTGTCTTTTTCACGGAGTTAAATATGGTCGTTAGTCATACTTTCTAAGATGACGGGATGTGACGTTGCGAAACAGAACGGAAAAGCGGTCAAAAATCTAATAACTTTTTGTTCAAAAACAATGGAATTTCTTTAAATTTACTTAGATTCGTCTGATTATATTAGGAGCTTTTTGTTTAACTGTCTTTTTCATTGATCATAAAAGCAATGACCCTTTACCGTTAAGGAGTAGAGCATCTCGTATGGTGTAGAAGGGAAATGTTTTTGACTTGAATCTGGCAACAGACGTTCACATATTTAACACGAGTTTTATACCAAGTTTGGTTTGATAAATCAAYGTGGGATGCAACAAATAGTAAAGAATGTATATCGGATGTACATGTGGCGCTCACAAGATCGCTTGAACAGACATATAAGGTAGGCAGCAAAAACGGGAAGACTCACGTTAGAACTCGTGTTTGAGGGCGACGTTTTCGACTGACGACTACAACAACAACAAAAACTTAAAATATCGAATACAGTTCACAAAACTTTTTTATATTTTTGATTTAGCGAGCAAAAGAAACCGTCTTAATGTCGTAAACTAAAAATTAAGGAATAAAAACATTTAGAATTTGAGAAAAAATGTAAAAGGAAGAAAGAGAAGTCGATAGGCATCCATTACTGAACCTTGCCTGGTGTGTTTCGACAACTCGGTACATACACTTCGTTGTACATATGTATGATTTTGTACATCTCTTTTTTTTAAGAGTAGGTGAATAGTAAAAACATAAGTATTTCTTAGCTTAAACAAGGTTCTCAGTCAGTCGTGTTTGTTCAGGGTTTTTTGTTTTTGTTTTTGTTTTTTGTTTTTTCATTGATTTCTGAGGAGTTGTGAGTATCATAAGCAGTTTCGTTTATACAATGAAACTTTATTCATCCACAAATATACAATTTTAGCATCCTCAGAGAAGTTTTTAAACAATATATAGTTTACAACAACATGACAACATCATATTTCTATATTTTTTGGTGCCAAAGACATTCAAATCCATCTCTAACTTCAGCAATTATCAAAGACGTTTAGGAGATTGTTGAACGATAATGGATGAAGACTTCAAGAGCTTCATCGAACAACAAAATTTAGTTTGATTCAATCACGATTTTATAGTCAAAGAACTAATGGGGTCAGTGAGCCTATAAAAGGTTCAAAGCTACAAGACTTTGAAAAGGAAATTCTGCATCGTTCAGGAGCACTTCACCATATTGTACAGGAATTAAATATATAACTATGAGATAGACAAATTTGGCACAATACTTCTTTAAACTGGAAAACATTCCTTAAGCTAGTGGGTTTTTCAATAGAAATTACAATTATCTGAAGTCTTGCTCTGTGCAGGAGATGATGACAGAAGACCTGAACAGTGCTTTAAATCGAATAAAGAAAACGAAAAATGAAATTTGACAGAATACCGATTATGGGAACGTTCATTAGTGCTTTTTGATAGAAATTACACTGAATGTAATGAGAAGTATGTGCAGCTCGTCTCTCTTTAGGACGAATCCTTGAACAACACTTTAAATGAAATAAAGAAAGCAAGAATAGTCCTATGGCATAGCATTGTAATCTAAAGGAAATTAGAGTCAGGCGTTTTGCTCCAAGTTCACTAGGTGGCCTTCCTGACAGACTTTCAATGTCTTTAACAAAAGGGAAACTTGCTCTCTGCAAGAAGGGCATTGAATACATGGTCCTATGGCATAGCATTATGATCTAAAGGAAATTAGTGTCAGGCGTTTTGCTCCAAGTTCACTAGGTGGCCTTCCTGACAGGCTTTCACTGTCTTTAACAAAAAGGAAACTTGCTCTCTGCATGAAGGGCATTGAATACAAACTCTCGTCTGTCAAACAACAGATAGCTCAAGGTAGAAAGCTCTAAAAATATCTTTAATTCTGTGATTGACGGATGTTATGTGCTGCTCGAAGAAAAAAACTTCCCTGCTAAATGTGTGGTCAAGACTTTTGCTATTAACGTACCATAATGAAAAGATTAATGTACCATAATGAAAAGATCATGTACTTAAAACTTGAGCAATTGAAGTCGTTATTTTTAAAATCAACATATGAAGATTCATTTTATAGGATTTCTATTAATAATATTGCTGAGTAGCTGAGTTTAGTCAACACAATGAGCGCTGTTTGCGGATGACTCTTTGTCCAGCAAATTATAAAGGTTTTTCTTTAATTATATCAGTTAATTCCTGGAAGTGAATCGATAGAAAAGAGTAAATAAATCCTGCAGAATTCTTCAATGGATGTATTTAAGGGTATATCCAGCTTTGAGATTGTCTAACTCAGTCCAAAACAAATACAAATCTTAAGACTTCTCAGTGATATAGGCACTGTAAAGAAAGTCTTACAACCCTCCTTGAAATCCCCCTTTTCCCCCCTTTGTTGCACTTTCTGTGGGTACCCTAAAGCAAACAGTATATGGCGCTGTCACAAGAGTTTCGTACAAGATGGAATAGGAAAAAAACTGATTCAGAAATAYCTAGGAATGAATGGTTAACAGATAAGCTGGGCTTTGTGGAATTAAAATAAAAAAAATTGCAATATRCTTAAAAATATTTTTTCAATTTTAATTTGCTTGCCAAGTCATATTGGACTACACCTTTCGATGTAGTTGTGAACATTAGTTTCTTTGCTACATTTTGATTTACAATGACTTTACTGACTTAGCCATTTATAGTGGACTACACCTTTTAGTGTAGTTGCTAACAATTAGTTTGTTTGCTACATTTTAATTCAATTTAAAACGTGGTATATACTTGTGCACAGCACAAAGAGCATGCATTATGGACAATGACTTTACTTAGCTATTTATAGTGGACTACACCTTTAAGTGTAGTAGGCCCTTTGCAGCTAAGCAATCACGTGCTGATTAAGTCACTGAGAGCAAATGAATGAACATCTTGATTCCCATGGGTGAAATTTACTGGACTGCAAACAAACTTTCTGCAACCTGTTTCGAGAAACTGTAATAAAACTGCATTTCCTAACACACTGGATACACATGTTTTCATTCAGTTCTTTACAAGTACTTAAAAAGAATCACCAATTTAATATAAAAACAAAAATTTTGCAGTCCAGTACAGACACGTGACCGTTAGCTGCAAAGGGCCTGTTGCTAACAATTAGTTTGTTTGCTRCATTTTAATTCAATTTAAAACGTGGTATATACTTGTGCACAGCACTGTTTATTTTATGGCCAGTGTTTTGTGGTCTAATAGCATTGTCTGTGCAAAACAAAGTATCCAGAGGAACACCTCACTACCTGAATCCAAGTAATCAAGCTTCAAGGCTCTTTATATGACAAATAATCCCAGTTAACTTAATGATTCGTAAAGTGGTTTGAATATGGAAATAAAATTGGAGAGTAAATATGACAAGAACTGGACTACCACAAAGTGGGTTGAATGTGACAATCCATAAAAGTGGCTTAAATATGACAAATAATACCACAAAATGAGTTAACAAGACGAATCAAAGTTAAACTGATCATCAACCACTTCATGTCTGAGATGAACGCCTGGCAATGTATACAGTAGACTTGTTAACAACTGAGGATGATACCAAGAATAGGAGGCAATTCAGTTAATATAATCCTTGTATGAACACTCGAATTGAATAAACGTTTWAAAAAATGATTACGATTAAGCTGGATGCGAGTTTCGAGCGTTGTAACGAGAGGACAGTACATGGTTGTCGCAGAGGTTCGAGTCAGCTCTACCTCATCGAAGATTAAATTCGTGCTAGGGGTAGGTATAGGAAGCAATGGAGGCATAGTAAAGGAGGAACAAGTTGTCACCAGATAATCAATGGTGTATATACACAGACAGACCACAACAGCAATCTTTATCGCTTGGTGTTGTTGGCACCGAACAAAACCTTGATGCCAAACATTTATAACGGGTTTTGCTGATATTTCTTTAAGTTTCAAGCAGGAAAAACAACCTCTAAATGTCGTAGGACTTAACAATTATTTTATTTCTGAGGTTTGTAACAATTATCGTATAATTAAGCGAACAGATAAAGCCAAATGAGACAATATCAGTGAGTTATCATGGTTAGCTTTGTACTCGGCTCACACGATGCCTGTGAATTTCCGCCGTTATTTCAGCATCAAAAACCACAAGACAGGAAGAAAAAAAWATTTGTTTTCAAGAAATTCAATTCTTTATTAAAGTATTAAACTCTTCAAAGTCTGGTTTATTGTTTTGGACGAGGGGCCTTAAACTCCCAACACCGCACCCAAACCTCATGTCCAGCGGTAATTGACATGTTTGCTCATGCGTAAACAAACCAACACACCCTAAACATGACGATCATTCCTGAGCTTTTGCCTGCCATATTTGTACAATCAGGATATCTGTCGTGATTATTATGGGTTGTAAGTCCACAGCAGGACACGACAACACCCGAGGTCACGTGGTGTTTACATCTCGTGAACCAGTCATGTGTCTATCATGTGTCTAAGGTTAGTAACCTGATCCCGTCACTCATTCAACAAAAGGTCTTTCAATAAATATTGATAACGGATTGCATTACACAAAGGTCAAGAGCGTTTCGACCAATCAAATGACATGTTTGAAAAAGCTTGAAACTATGACGTATATCCTGGACGTTGGCCCTTTTGACAGCCAATTAGCAATGGCCAATCAAATTCGTAGTTTTAAATAGCCCTGAACTTTGACGCATTTAGTTGTTCTTAATATAAAATTGAAGTCCAGCTCAAGGTCAAATAAAAATAACCAATTAGATTCCAACTGAGTTTCTAAAGCGAAAAATATTTTTAATACACGAGGTCGTCCTATTCAAGATTTGCCGTTATTTTTAAAGCGGTAGTTATACCCTATATCGGCCGCGCGGCATAACAGTGTCTGCTTTGAATGATTTAATTAACACTCGTGAAGTGTTTGAGAGGAGCACGAGGTTTGCTGGTATTTCAAGGTAAGGAAATGCGCAGACGTAGACGCTTCCAATCACAGCGCCCGTTGGTAAATTACGTGCGCACTTCATGGCAACGTGCGCCAACACAATTGAGTTTTAAAATGTTTTGGTTCAATTAAGAAGTATTTTGTCTTGGGTTGCTCATCCCATCTAT